CCCATCTATCCACCCATCCACCCACCCATCCATCCACCCATTCACCCATCCACCTGTCTATCCACCCATCCATCCACTCATCCATCCACCCATCCGTCCACTCATCCATCCACCCATCTATTCATCCATCCACCCACCCACCCATTCACCCATCTATCCATCCATCCACCCACTCACCCATCTATCCACCCACCCACTCACCCATCTATCCACCCATCCACCCACACACCCATCCAACATTCATTCACCCACACAGTCATCCATCCACCTACCCACCCATTCACCCACCCCACCCGTTTACCCATTTATCCACTCATCCATCCACCCATTCACCCATCTATCCATCCACCCACCCATCCACACATCTGTCCATCCACCCACACATTCACCCACACATCCACCCACTCACCCATCTATCCATCCATCCATCCACTCATTCACTCATCCACCCACCCACCCATCCACCCATCCACCTACCCATCTACCCACCCATTCACTCATCCACCCATCCATTCATTCATTGATTAATCTATTCATTCATCAATCTATTCATTCATCTATTTATCCAGCAGTGAAGGGTGTGTGGGTTGGGGGGAGGTGGGGGTGGCGGGTTCCTACATGCTAGAAGAGAAGGCAAACATAAGACACCCTGCCTGAAGAAAGACCTCCTTACCCACCCCACATGGCGTCATCTCCCCCACTGCCCCCACACCCTCCTCCAGTTCTCTGGCCATCCTGCAGATTCACCAAAGCCTGCCTTAGGGCCCCTCTGCCTACCCAGGGGCAGTTTCCCCAACTGCCCTCCAGGCCGCACATGCCAGGCCATGTTAATGGACCGTGTCTCCTATAGTCCCAGAGAGCAGGACCAGGGGCTGTCTTGGACACCGACAGAACCCCAGTGGGCCCTAATAGGTCTTTTAGGAAGGAAGGAAAGGCCCCTTCTGCCCCGCGAGGCTGAGTGCTGGCTGCAGACAGCAGGAGTCTCTGGGAGAAGCCGTGCCCGCTCCTGCTGCCTCCACCTCTGCAGCCACTTCCTCCCCAGCCCCTTATCTCCCAGCCGCCCAGCTCTGAAAGCCACAGCCAACGTCTGCTTCCCCACAAGCACCAACTGCCCGGCCTGGGGGAGAGGAGGCGGGTAGTGGGGAGGTGGGGAGTGGTGCCCACACCCCAGGTGGCCGCCAAAGTGGGAGGCAGCTCCTGCCCCCAACTTGTGGGCAACTTTCTTCTCTTCTCTTTCCAACCCCACCTCCATCAGACCCCCTGATTAGACACCAGGCAGGACAGGGCCAGGCGGGGAGCTCAGGGCCTCATTGCGAAAGTGGAAGTGTCCCATCTGCGGGGGGCGCAGGTGCAGGCCTCGAACATCTGCCTCAGGGCTGGGGGCGGGGCAGCCTGTCTCCTACTCCGGTGAGGGGAGCCACCACCCCCACCCAGGGTGCCATCCTGCTGCCTCATAGAGTGGGGGCTGTGCCCCCTGAGACCCTCAGTTCCCCGACTCTGAGACTCCCACTGCACATAGGTGAGGAACAGGCACTGACACAGACAAACACCAGCCATGTGACCACCGTGGCCCTGGCCCATGTGGCCACCCAGCGCCTCTGCTGTCTCCACTCCCGGAAACGCTCTAGGAGCTGAGGCCGTTAGGATCGTGTGCCCTGCACAGATGAGGAAACCAAGGGGGTCAGGGCCCCCAGGACCCCGACTGCTAATCTCACCCTGAGTCAGAGCGCGGGGAACAGCAGGGGACGTGGGGACCCGATGATGGCACCAGGGGACTGGCCCCGGGCTTGCAGGGAGGTCCCTTCCAGCCTGAGTCCTGGGGGCAGAGCGGCCCACCACCCAGTGCAGGGGAGGCCCCGGGCGGGCCTTGCCTCTAGGAAGTTCCCCAGCAGTAACAAACACGCTCTGACCGTAAGCTGGACACACGCGCTGGCACGCAGCTTGTTGTCACCAACTTGAGAAGGACACCCGATTACCAGGACAGGGAGACCTGGGACACCTGGGGACCCTGCGGGAAAGGAGTCGGCTTTTACCCCTGCACGGCTTGAATTATTAACCGTGTGCAGGCGTGACCTAAAAATCAAATCAAATCAAATCAAAATAGCACAGATGCCCGTGAACTGGCCTTGGGTCTGCGGGTTCCACACCTCTGGCCTGTCTGAGGCCACGAAGCCTCCAGCCATGGTATCCAAAAAGTCACCCACCAGGGCTGCAGGGCCGAAGGGCTACTGTCACCTCCCGGGAAGCTCCTCTTGCCTCTGACAGTTGTCAGGGCACTTTAGAAAGTGACTTTTTTTCCAGCATCTGGGATGTGACTCACTCTCAGCCCAATGGCTGCTAGAAAGGGGTCCTGGGACTCTCCCTGGGGTCTGAGTGGTCCCAAGAGGGCTCTGAGGTGGCTTCTGGAATTTCTCAGACTGGAGAAGCCACCCACCCTGACCCCCGCAAACTCCGGAGGCGGCCGCTGGGGCGCGGGGTGAGGGTCCTTCCAAGGCAGCCCCGGAGAGGCAGGGAGCCCCGCTGCCTCCACAGAGGGTCAGGAGCCCTGCGCACAAGGCCAAGCAGAGAGAGACGGTTTCCTCCCCAGCGAGCGGGAGGTACTTTAAGGACAGATCAGGGGCCCAAGAACCCCCAGCAGCTGGGGGAGCCAGGGCTGAGGGGAGGCCGGTCAGAGGCCCCATCTGGCTCAAGGGCACAGTCGACAGCCACAGGAACACGGGCAGGGTGGCCCCTGGAGTGGGGGCAAACTAAAAGGGGTGTTGGGGAAAGTCCGGCTGACTGAGGGCAAGCGGAGAGGGAGGAGACCCCCAAATACCCCAGACTGAAGAAAGCGCCAAGCCCTGGTGGGAAGGTGGGTGGGCGGAGTAGGCCGAGGACTCTGGGCCAGGACGGAGCTGCCCTCAGGCCTGCAGACCTGCCTCGGAGCGAGGAACACACGCTGTAGGGCTCAGGGTGGGTGGGACATCACCAGAGCTGCCTGGGGAGGAGGAAGTTGTTGGAAGGTCAAACCGGAATGGCCCGAGGAAAGGCCGTGAAGGGCAGGGCCCCAGATGGTTCCTGTCGGGGAAGTGGGGGGCACAGCTGCAGGCCTCCGGCCCATTATCACAGGGACACAGCTGGCTGCCTCACCCGCAGGCTGCAGAGACCTTCCCCAGCCTGCAGCCCCAGGCCCGCCCCGCATCACATGAGCCTGACGGCTCCCACCCCCTCCCCAGGGCTGAGGACACCCGGCCGGCGGCCAGGAGGGCCTGGGCTTTCCAGCGGCAGAGGCCCAACTCCAGGACGCCCCAGCTGGCCCAGCCCCTCCTGTTTCCCTCAAGGCTGCAGGAGGTCGGGAAAGGCATTCCCAGAAGAGGCCTGTCCTGGGCCCCAGGTTGGCCCCTGAGGGTGGCCCTCCTCATGCCGGCTTCGAGACTGAGGGACAGGGCAGCCGGTTCAGCCTCGGGATCCACCCGTGGCTCCATGTCCCAGCCGCACCCTGTGCTGGAGAGCGGCTTCCCGGCATCTGCTGCCTGCTCAGCACCCCGGGGTCCCAGGAAGGGCGGCCCAGGTAAGAGGCTCGGGGGGAAGGTGGTGGGGTGGGGGCAGAGGGCGGCAACAGGTGCCGAGGCTGTGACTCCTTCGAGCTTCGCGGGGCCTTGTTGACAGCGCCGGCATGGGCGGCCGTGTTGACTCACCTCAGATATCAACAGGGCCACCCCTCAGGCAGGTCCTGCACAGCTGGGGCAGGTGGGCTGGTGAGGGCTTGGCAGGTGCCAGCCGGGTGCCCTGGCCCCACCCAGAGGCAGATGCTGGAGGCCGGGCTGCTCAGCCCTGTCTAGGAGGGTGGGCTGTGTTCGCCTGGGGGTGGGAGAGCTGCAGTCAGGAAGTGACTGGGGGGTCCTACAAAGAAAGCCCTCCTCCTCCGGGGATGCCCTCCAGGTGCGACGCCTCACAGCAGGTTGGATGAGGAAACTGAGGCCAGAGGGGAGGGCACCGGCCCAAGACCCCAGTGAGGAGGAAATGGACCCGACCCCAGGCCCCTGTCCAAGGAACGATTCCAGGCAGGGCAGTGGGGGTTTGCAGGGAACCCGGGCCTGCCCTCCTGGGGGCTTCGGGCTCTGGGGAGCGGTCCAGCAGGACGCCAGCTATTGCTGACACCCCCCGCCCAAGCCTGCAAAGTCCCAGGACAAGGTCTCCCAGACACTGGGGGCTGCAGCTGCAGGCTGGTGTCCCCGTCTCCCAGTGGCCCTCATGGCCACACTCCCAGCAGCTGTCAGAACCTTCCGGAACCAGCAGTCTCCTGTCTCGCAGGGCTCTCACTGCGGCCGTCAGGTCCAGGGTCTGCCTGCACCCCTGACACTCACACACAGAACCCGGGATCCGGGGTGTCCCCGTCCCTGGAGACCACATTCCCTGAGCAGGTCCTGGCGGCGGCTGCCTGAGGCTGTTCCCACCTGCAGGTGCCCGTAGGACCCCAGAGCCGCCCCCTACGAGGGCCCCAGCCGTGAGCAGGAACATCCCAGACCCAGGTGCCTGGCGTGCAAAAGCCGGACCTCACCACAGCTAGTGACACTGTGGGTTTCTCCCAAGGGGGTGACTCAGAGCTGCCTTCAAGGCAGCACCAGCTCACTGGCCCTGGCATCTGCCATCCCATCCTCTCCCGGGCGGCCCTGTCTGTCCTCTGGCACGGAGTGGCCTTGGGCCAGGTGCTCCCTCCTTCTGGGCCTCAGTTTCCTCCTGGATCAGACCCGTCCCACCAGCTCCCTGCGTGAGTTTCTCACCGGTGGGGAGAGAGACGGGCTCTGAGGTGCATGGAGAACAGCTGCTTTGTTAGGATGGGCGTGTCTACTGTGGAAGGATGGGGGCATCTACCGTGGAAGGAGGTTAGGGCCAGGAGGTGGCCCTGTGCCTGATTCGTGCGAGGGGCTGGTGGCTAGAGGCATGAAACAGAGGGCCAGGGTGGGCCTCTGACATGGTTGGAGGTGAGGAGCAGAGGCCCAGGGTGGGCCTCTGACATGGCTGGAGGTGAGGAGCGGACGGCCAGGGTGGCCTCTAACATGGCTGGAGGTGAGGAGCGGACGGCCAGGGTGGCCTCTAATACAGAGTACACAGCCACTGTGCCCATCCCCAGGGAGCCCCTGCTTAGGGGCTTCAATGTGAGGAGGGAGCAGGGTCTCACTTGGGTGCAGGGTCCTGCACCTGGCTTCTAGGGCCTTCTGTCCCTGCAACCACCCAACCCTATTCCAGGGTGCCCATGGGACAGCCTTGGCCACATCAGGCAGCAGAGATACACGTGACTACCAGGGCTTGGAGCTTCTCATCCTGCACCCCAGGGGCCCCCAGGGGACAGATGTGGGGCCCTGTGATGCCGGAAAGCCTCAGCATCAAGCCTCGCCCAGCTGGAGGAGCAGGGGTCATGGGGGCTGTGGGAACTGGGGGGATCCTGGACAGCCCTGAGGGCCCCTCAGCCCCACTGTGTGGATCTCAGGCACAGGGCCTCCCAAGAGTCCCTAAATCCTTTGAGGCCTGAAAACAGGCTGATTGGCTTTAAACTCTGGGGAGAACAGTAATATTTTTAAGAGCTGAAGTAGAAGAACCTTCCTGTCTTTAGAGCAAAGGCTGACTGAACAGGGCTGTGTTGCCGCGTGTTTGGTGGCAGGCGGGGAGGCATCCGTGTGCCGCGCAGCGGGTGGGAGGAACTCAACCCCTCGTCTCCTCTGACAGTGTCCAGGGGGCTGAGGTGTAAGCAATCAGAAGACGGCCACAGAGCACACGCCGCCGTCTGGGGGCCAGGACCCCTTCCCTGGGCTCTTTCACCAGCCCCCGCAGGCGGAGGGTCCAGATCCTCACTGACCCCTTGGCCCAGTGGTGCAGAAGGAACCCCTTAAGACAAGTGCTTGTGGTCCTGGGTTTATGACGCGCCCGCTGTGTGTGCTCTGAGCCGTGCAGGCTCTCACCGCCTTGTCTCCACAAACCCACTTTGTGAAAAAAGAGGCTGAGGTCACAGTGGTGACCTGACTGCCCCAGGAGAGAGGGATGGGAACCAGGTCACCTAAGGAGGGTGCCGGAGACAGAGACTTTGAAATCCACCTAGCGAGTATAGGCTGAGGCAGAGAAGGGTCAGTGCCATGTGCTGAGACCTCCATGGGGGAGAAACTGAGTCAGGCGGCCTGGTGTCACCGTAGAGGGACGACATGGGATCTTGGGGAGGTGGTGAGCACCATCAGTGGAGGGGTCCAGGCAAAGGTGGGCGGGTGTTATGGGGACGGGCAAGGTGGGCAGATGCTGTGGAGGCACCATCCGTGCAGGAAGCTTAAGCCCTGGCCGGAGCCCATCTGGCACAGGGGTCATGTCCAGAGCCTATGGTCAGCCTGAGCTCCCTCCACCGACCTTGCCCTTGGGGCTGGGCTGCGCCGCCACTCACTCTCCATCCTCCATCTCCTCAAATGGCCATCTGGGCCCAGCTGCCCTCTGGAATGTTGTGGGTCTGGAACGTCCTAGGTCCGGAATGTTCTGGGTCTGGAATGTTCTGGGTCTGGAATGTTCTGCATCTGGAATGTTCTGGGTCCAGAATATTCTGGGTTTGGAATGTTCTGAGTTTGGAAAGTTCTAGGTCCGGAATGTTCTGAGTTTGGAATGTTCTAGGTCCGGAATGTTCTGGGTTTGGAATGTTCTAGGTCCGGAATATTCTGGGTTTGGAATGTTCTGGGTCTGGAATGTTCTGGGTTTGGAATGTTCTGGGTCCGGAATGTTCTGAGTTTGGAATGTTCTAGGTCCAGAATATTCTGGGTTTGGAATGTTCTGAGTTTGGAATGTTCTAGGTCCGGAATGTTCTGGGTTTGGAATGTTCTGGGTCCGGAATGTTCTGGGTTTGGAATGTTCTGGGTCTGGAATGCCTTCCCCCAGTGTTTCTATCTCCTGGGGCTGCAGTAAGGACAGGCTGCAAGCTGGGTAGGGACCCAGAATGACAGAGGCTTCTCTCACAGCGCCGTAGGCTGGAAGTTCGAAACTAAGGCGCCAGATGGCCGTGCTCCTCTGGGTCCTGCCTCCTCCAGGTCCTGCTGGCCCCAGGTGTTCCTGGGCTGTGCCTGCCACACCACAGCCTCTACCTCTGTCTTCCCAAGGCCTTCTCCTTCCTCCCAAATCTTCCTCTGCCTCCTTCTTCTAAGGCCCAGCCCACCCCAGGCCACAGCTCCGGCCACTCACTCTGCACTCCAGGCAATGGGACACAGGGAGGCGCCGGAGAGGCTGCAGGCAGCCCCCATTGTGAGAGGTGCCCATCGAGGGGGTGCGGTGGGAGGGGGAGTGGACATGAGCAGCCAGGTGGTCTCAGCCCGATTCTTCCTTCAGCCGCAGGCCCCGTGTTTGCCGGGCTATGGAGCTGGCGGATCATGCAGAGCTCGGCCAGGGTGTCCGTGGGCTCCAGCCAGAGGCAGGGAGGTCAGTGTGTGCGTGACAAGACGTCTGAGGCCACAGACAGACAGACAGATGGGCAGCCCCAAGGGTGCCTGCAAAGGGGCCAGATAGTGGCCGTCGGACCCGCGTCTGTGAGCAACGTGCTGTCACCGCCGTTCTCCCACCTCTTGTTCTCCCTTTTGTTGACCACATAGTGTCGGGGGGCTCCATGTTGGGGAGCCAGCCCGGGGGTGCTGCTGTTACTGCCATCACAGAAGAAGATACTGAGGTTCTGAGAGGCACACAGCAGGCTTCACTGACCCTGTGGGGCAGAGGCAGATGGGCTGGAGATGTGAGGATCTCGCTGCCGTGAAATCACACTGACCGTGGAGTCCAGCCCCAGGCTCGGAGGGAAGCTCGCCCTGGAACCACTGCTGGGTCAGTCATGGCAGGAAGCCAGCAGCACCGCGAGGGGACAGGGTGGCCAGTGCGTGGACAGCTCCATGAGGGAGGGTTTGCGAAGGCCGGACAGAGGCGGGAGACTGCAGAGCTCTGGGGACGGAGGGTGAAGAGGAATGGATGAGCCAGGAATAGAGAGAGGGGCGTCCACAGAGGTAGGAAGTCCTCAGGAGAGTGGATGGTGGGACAAAGCCCGACCTCCCCCAACTACCTCCCCACTGGACACTCCACTGGGGCAGAGCAGGGAGCAGGGGCTCTGGGTATGTCCTCATTGCCAGGTGCAGCCAGTTCTCCGGGCCCGGTCAGTGCACCTCCCTCTCTCCCCAGTAAGCATGGCACTGCTTCCCTGAGGCCTCAGTGGTTGCCGGAATGCTCCGCTCCTTCCCCATACCAGCCTATCCCCACACACAAGCACAGCAACCAGCCACGTCCTCCTGTCCAGCAGGAAGACCTCGAATCAGCACCTAGGAAGACAGGGACGGTGCCTAGGGTCAGGGTGCAATCCAGGCCAGCTTCCTGGAGGAAGTGGCCCCATGGGGGCGGCTCTGGGAGGCCATACTTTAGGCAAAGACGACTTTCACTTCTCACCACATGTGGACTGAGAAGCAGTGCGTCCCGTTAACCTGCCTGGGCGCTGCGCAGGGGTTTTCCGGCACTTTCACTTCCGTGACTGCAGTTGACCAGGGAGGCGTGGGCAGGAAGAGCGGCCCCAGG